AAAACATTTAACGTAGATATGTTCTATTGAAAGGTTGTTCAGACGGTTTTAAAATGCCATTCTTAATGATAATGTCACAGCTTCTAGACTGTGGCTAGCAATTTAAAGGGGAACTCCACCAATTTTTCAAAATGTATGTATGATTAAATGGTTAACATGTTAACATCATTCAGAGTTAAGTCATTCGGAGTGGTTTGCTGTGAAATGCTTTGCTCTGGAGAAACTTACAGTCAGAATTGTTCACAGTGGTGGTGATAGGAACCAGACGTCTAAGGAGTTTAAAGCCTCTAAAATTTTCCTCGCAGAAGGATATTACAGGAAATGGTTATGAATACACAACTTGATGTCAGAGACATTGTTTTACAGTACATTTGGGAAAAGGTTTTGGTTTAAAATGTATTTTAGTCAATTTATTGTTATCTATTTAGGGTGGAGGGATACATGAAAGGGTGTTCTAAGACAAAATAGTGCCTTTCCACCTATTTTACCATTATCAATATTACATATAAACACTCAAAAAACACATGAAGGTTCACTGGTGATTTTGGACAGTAAATGAAATGGCCATTTTGCATTGTAGAAATTGGGACCCCTGGTTCCTATCATGGTCCCTGAACCATTTCATATTAAACCTAGTAATAAGTGAGTATAGTAAAGCCAATATAGTAAAGCTAATATGCATTACTATTACCCATATCACTGTTGCACCATTGCTACTTTCCATCCTCTTCAGGATGTGCAGTTTTTCTCCACATGTTACAGAACTCTTGTCCACAGCAATGTTTAATGGATCCCCTGACGGTTTTCTCCTGTGTTACAGCCTGTAGGTTTAAATCATGTTTATGATGAGAGTGTGTCGCATTTGAACTACACAGTGTTCAGTCGAGAACCGTCAGACAAATCAGCGAGGCACAGCCCACTTTTGACAAATTAGGGGTCTTCAACACTTGGCCATCATTCTTCCGAGTGAATATTAGCTTGATGGCACATTGACTGAGAAGAAAAACAGCAAAGGGAGGGTGAGGTCCCATCATACTTTATTCCCCACCTCTTGCTCTCTGCCTTCTCTTCCCTGCTGAGGAGAGATTTAATTCACAGTAATTACTTTATTGACTCATTTGCAGGGCCGAATTGCTTCCAATCTGCCATCAATAAAACATACACTAGGATGAAGAATAGCGATGCTAACTTGGGTCCTCAAACTGCAAAGTGGCTTTCACTCTTCTGTGGGCAGAATTACATTTGCTTCTGCTCAGTGTTTGGCTCACCACACATGATAATATGATTAATACGATTATTTAATGAGCTAAGGGCATATTTAAATGTGTAAAGAATGACATCTGTGTTGACTGAATCGATATAAAGAAATTATATCAAAAGGATAATACTTCCTTTTTGTCCTTACCAAGGCATAAAGACTGGCTATCTTATTAGAAATCCCTCATTGTAGCTCTACCATGTGTACAGTTAGAGACTGTACTCCATCTGTTGATGCACAGTTTGTGCTAGCCACACTCTAGCTCTGTATTAGCGGTCAGTTTCTGACCACAGAGCCACTTTGTCTGGACTTTTTTGGGCAGTTGTTCACTCTCGACCTAGCAGTGACTATGTAAAAATCTCAGAAAAACCACTGTGTCTGATACACTCATACCAGCACCACACACACACTATCATATCAGTGTCGCTGTTGTGCTGATGAAGCAACAACCAAATTGTACCTGGATAATGAAGGAGCTGCTAATAGTGTGGAGTGGGAGTTTATATAGGCAACGTATATGCCATTTTCTGGAACTATGTTAAGATTAACACTTTGAACTTTGACCTAAATGTTGTGATAATATAATAACGTATATGATTATATAGTATATATACATGCATTACTGAATGGGTTCTGCTGTCAATCACGGCAAAACTTAATCACAATAGGACATGGCAAAACTCCTCAAAACCCCATTATTTTATAGTAACCTCCTCAGTATGGACAAAAGTATTGAGACACTTACACTTTTATGCATCCCATTCTATATCCATAGGCATTAATATGGAGTTGCTTTGCAGCTATAACAGCTTCCACTCTTCTGGGAAGCTTTCTACAAGATTTTGGAGTGTGTCTGTGGGAATTTTCTCGTTGGACAAGAGAGCCTGGCTTGAAATCTCTGTTCTAGTTAATCCCAAAGGTGTTTGATGGCGTTGAGGTCAGGGCTCTGTGCGTGCCGGCCAAGTTCTTCCACACCAAACTCACTCAGCCATGCCTTTATGGACCTTGCTTTATGCACTGGGACACAGTCAGGGTGGAAGAGAAAAGGTTCTTCCCCAAACTGTTCCCACAAGGTTGTAAACATAGAATTGTCTAAAATGTCTTGGTCTGCTGAAGCATTAAAATTTCCCTTCACTGGAACTGAGGGTTCTAGGCCAGCCCCTGAAAAACAACCCCATATCATTATCCCTCCTCCACAACACTTTACAGTTGGCACAATGCAGTCAGGCAGGTAACGTTCTGGCATTCACCAAACCCAGACTCGTCCATCAGACTGACAGATAGAGAAGCGTGACTCGTCACTCCACAGAATGCATTTCCACTGCTCCAGAGTCCAGTGGTGGAGTGCTTTACGCTACTCCCTAGTATACTGAACATTTGGACTTAGGTCCATTGAAATGTGACATTTTTTAAAATAAGCATATATATTATTACTAACATAAGATATAAAGCAAACACTAAACTTTTTGTTTGTTTGCTGGATGTACAGTTGCATGTAAAAAAAAAATACACTTGGAACTACCTGGACTTCAAAAAACTAATATTTATATTAAAATAATTAACAAAGAGCTTATTAACACAAATCATATAAACTGATTTACATTTCTACATCCAGAATGAACAAATAGTAGGTCAGCGATGAAAAAAAAATCAGAAAACGTTACATAAGCTACATTACAAATCAATTATGTTTATATGTAATATTACACCTATTACATACAGTTCATATGCTACCAAGTGTGAAGACAGAGATAATAGTTCTGTTCAGTTTAGTTTGTGTTGTGTGTCTGTTTCCTTGTTAATAATAAATATGATCAATTTTCGAAATCTTCCAGATTCCATGTGTCTAATTCTAATGTCCAGTATACTGACCAGTGAAGCCTTTTAAAATCACTGCAAAACAATATTATCCCCAAATTTATTGAACATCATCTTCGAAACTCCTATACAAAATAAAAGCAAAAGGCTTAAATGATTGTGTTTTTTTAATGCATCAGTCTATTATACTAATCAAAACACAATGTACCACACTTACTACAAACATGTAGATTACTGGACATTAAACTTTATCTCAAAATTTGTGTTTTGTTTGTTTTTTTTTCTTTCTAAAAAGATACACACAAGATATACACTCACTGAGCACTCTATAAGGTACACCTATACATCTACTCTTTCATGCAGTTATCCAAACAGCCAACTGTGTGACAGCAGTGCAGTGTATAAAAACATGCAGACACAGGACAGCAGTTTCAGGAAACGTTCATATCAACCATCAGAATGAGGAAGAATGTGGCATGATTGTTGGTGCCAGACAGACTGGTGAGAGTATTTCTATAACTGCTCATCTCCTGAGATTTTCACATACAGCAATCTCTAGAGTTTCCTCAGAGTGGAGCAACAAAGAAAAAACATCCAGTAAGTGGCCAAAATGCCATGTTGATGAGAGAGGTCAACAGAGAATGGCCAGACTAGTCTGAGTTGACAGAAAGGCTACAGTAAGTCAGATAATCACTCTGTGCAATTGTGGTGAGCAGAAAAGCATTTCAATACATAACACATTGAACCTTGAGGCGGATGGGCTACAACAGCAGAAGATCACATGGGGGTTCTGTTTCTGTCAGCCAAGAACAGAAAGCTGAGGCTGCAGTGGGCACTAAAACTGGACCGTTAAAGACTGGAAAAACGTAGTCTGGTCCGATGTATATCAATTTCTGCTGTGGCACACAGACGATAGATTCAGAATTTGGACCCAACCTGCTTTGTGTCAACAGTCCAGGCTGGTGGAGGTGGTGTAATGGTGTGGGGGGTGTTTTCTTGGCACATTTTGAGCCAGTTAATACCAATCAGCCATCATAAATGTCACAGTCCATTTGAGTGTTGTTTCATGGTCGCAATTTATGCATCCTCTAAAGGCTATGTCCAGCATGAAAATGCACCATGTCACAAAGCAAGTCATATCAAACTGAACATGACATTTCAAGAACATGACAATGAGTTCAGTGTTCTTCAGTGGCCTTAAAGTCACTGGGTCTGAATCTAATAGAACATCTTTGGGATGTGGTAGATCAGGAGATTCACAGTGGGAACCTGAAAAATCTGCAGGAATTGCATGATGCAGTCATATAGGAATATTTCCAACATCTTGTGGAACTGTTTTAAGAGCAAAAGGAGCCATATCAAGTATTAGTGTAGTGTTCCTAATAAAGTGCCCAGTGAGCGTACAAACAAAAACATTTCTGAAATAAATACAGGATTATTTAGAAATAGTGTTTTATTCGTTTAATTCTATCATGCCAGATGCCATTTTATTAAATATATATATATATATATGCACAACAGGATAGTGATCCCAAACATACAAATAAATTCACCAAGGAATGGCTCAAAATGAAGAAATGGAGGATTATCAAATGGTCTAGTCAAAGCCCAGGTCTGAATTCCATTGAAATACTGTGAGGAAATTTGAACTGGTCTGTACGTGGAAGAATCCCCTAATTAGTTAGTTAGTGTGTTGTGCTGGTATGAGTGTATCAGACACTGCTGGAGTTTTTAAACACTGTGTCCACTCACCGTCCCACTCTATTAGACACTCCTACCTTGTTGGTCCACAGTCTGTAATTGTAGAACTACAAAGTGCACATATATTGTGGTAAAATGGACAAAGAGTGTAGATACAACTAGAAATTTGAAATCCATATGTTGCCATTTATCAGATTTACTTATGGGATTTCTGGCTTTGCAGGTGTGAGAGGGCAGCAGGCGTTCCGAACAGAGCCTCGTAACCTGACTGTACGGGCGGGGGCCACGGCTCTGCTGAAGTGTGAAGTGCTCAGGGCCTCAGGGGCCGTCCAGTGGGTAAAGGATGGCCTGCTACTTGGGCCGCAGCGGTCACTGCCTGGCTACCCACGCTACAGCATGACCGGTGACGAGAACAGAGGTGAGAACCAGGAAGGGAGAGAAAGAATTAACTATGATAATTGTGTGAAATACTTCATGGAAAATAAAAAAAATACACAGAATACACAATACACAGAAAAAAAAATGTGGAAAAAGGCAGAAGTTGATGTAAAATGTTTTTGAGTTTTAATTGATGTAAAATATTGCTTTTGTTTATTTGTTAATATGTATACGTCTGTGTTAATATATTCTAGAGATGTTAGTGTTAGCTAGTGCTAAATAAAGTGCATAGCATTGCTCATTTTTAATATTTACACGTCCCTTGTCTGCAATTTTTCAACAGGCTGTTGGTTTTGATTCAGGATTTAGGAAAAGTTTTGTTGCCAGTGCTGCATTGTACACCATTCTATGCAGATAATTTTTGTGCAAGCAACACTCAACAGGAGTGCCCAAACTTTTTGCATTGCTCAGATTTCGCCACAACTTGATTCAATCAGATTTTGACTCATTTATCTTGGTATATCATTCGATTGTTCATTCATGTTTTGCAAATAAACTGAATGCACAAATTTGACTGGTGGAACTGTTTTCAGTGTATCGAACAATCCAAAAAAATTCACAGGCATTTATTTTACACCTGCACATTTGAGGTTTATATATATATTATATTCTCTTATAACGATATAAAGTTATACCTTTGCAAAATTAATGCACCTGAATTGCTGCCTCCATGATGCATCAGTGCATTTGCCCCTCAGTGGCATGGTGCATTCATGTGACTGCTTAATATTAACAGTTCTCAAGGTTGACATTAATTATTATAGAAACTGATAGGCAATAATGAATATTTTAGTAATATTTTAATTTAAGCATGCACTTGAGTCATCTATAGTTTTTATGCAACCACTGGAACCGTGGAATCCCATAAGCATTGTTCGCCCGAAAACAGCTTAGCGCAACGCTAACAAAGGAGGTTCTAATTTAAGCACTGGGGACTGGTTTGAGAAATGAGCAGTTCTTTTTTTCTGAGCCGAGCGCCTACACAAAAACAGCTCTGAATCATGCCTATCCTTATCGGCCATTAGGAGTAAATAAGGGGGAAATTGAGTTCGTTGCTTGGTGGCTCGCACCACTGAATAGTGGTAGTGCATGTAGCAGGCGGGGCGGACTAGCACCTATAAAAAGCCATCTGCAATTAAAACCCAAGGCTGAAAAAAGGCCTGGGCGAGCATTCCTGTTCATTACAGAGCAAAGCAGCTATGTTGTGCCACACTTAACTCCCCATGATGGCACTGGGCATCGCACCTCTGGTAAACCAGCTCCTACAGTTTTCAATTGACTTAAGTTTAAAGGTCCCATATCATGGATAAACAACTTTCCCTCATTATTTTTTAATACAACTGTTTGATGAAACACATAAAGGAGCTTTAAAACATGGAGTCACTCCCCAGGCAGTATATGAAAATGAATCTGCAAAACCAGCCTGTTCTGAACTCACTGTTTTTCTGATGTTATAAAAATGCATTTACATATATATTTCTACATCAGCCTGTTCATTCAATCGCAGTTTAGCTCCACCCATTCTCTTTGAAGTTATAAGTTCACATGTTACACAAACACACACACACACACACACACAATTCCTAAACCGCTTATCCGTCTGGGTCATGGGGTGGGTGGGGGCGTTGTGTGCTGAAGTCTATGCCAGCAGTCATTGGGCAGAAGGCAGGAAACACCCTGGACAGGTCACTCGTCCATAGCAGGGCAGACAGACACATACACCCACACCCCCAATCACATGTAGGGGCAATCTAGCATATCCAGTTGGTCTGCATGTCTTTGGGCTGTGGGAGGAAACCCATGCAGACACGGGGAGAACATGCAAACTCCACACAGAAAGGACCCTGGTTGCCTAGCCGCGGAACCGAACCCAGGCCCTTCTTGCTGTGAGGCAACAGCGCTACCTACTGTGACACCCCACATTTTACATTTTATGTTACATTTTTTTTCCAATATGTGAAACTAAGAAAATATAAATTTTGCATCAGATCAAATTTGCAAACAAATTCCATATTTAAATTCATATGCAGGATGTGTTATTACTTATTTTCACTTTGAAAATCAGCAAAATATCTATTTTGACTAGAGGGGTTCAAACTTTTGCATACAACTGTGTATAAGTCTTATTATAGCATGAGTCCCTGAACCCACAGTACGTGACTGGAATGCTGCTGAGCAAGGCACCTAACCCCCAACTGCTCCTCGGGCACTGTGGAAAGGGCTGCCCACCGCTCTGGGCGAGTGTGCTCACTGCCCCCTAGTGTGTGTGTATTCATTAGTGTGTATGTGGGCCTTTCACTGTATGGATGGGTTTAAATGCGGAGGTGAAATTTCCACATTGTGGGACTAATAAGGGTAACTTAACTAAATTCTCAGAGAGAACAAATAGTTTGGAAAATGATGAATTCTGAATATTTTGATGTTTAGAAAGATGTAATAATTGGGGCTCATGGAATAAATAAATGCATACATGAAAGACACATGTATGATATTTGCCCTTTAATCATATGCCAGCTGAACTGTGGAGATGTTAATTCAACACTTTATGACTGAGATGTTGAAATCAAATTGCTGTAAGGTTCTGGTGCTTGTAATGTGGTATTGTAATGAGTTCGACATAGAGTTGAAGGACGTTAACTGTTTTTCCACATAAAGGTCCTCAACTATGGCTGACAGACACACACACACACACACACTGCCTAGAGAGAAAATGAATGTGCAAAAGAGTTCTTGTCAGCATTTCATGTTGGATGTCAGAAGTATAATTACTGGTCTCCCACAAACACATGCATGCGCGCGCAAACATCGCCGACACAAACATCATCGCAGCGTTTACTAAGTGCAATTTCAAGAGAGTGGAAAATCATTAATAATTTTAAAGTGGCTCCTTTTCCCTCTATGATAGCATAGATCCGAAAATTGCTACTGGTTGGTGTTAATTATCTTGCCAGCTTGGTTGACACCTCCTTTTTTTTCCAGCTGCAGTGGTTGTCATACCAAGATACTATTTTCTGCATGTTAGTTTTCTTTGGAAGGGAGGAGAGAGAGAAAGAAAGAAAGGGAGAGAGAAAGGGAGAGAGAAAGGGAGAGAGAGAGAGAGAGAGAGAGAAAGAGAGAGAGAGAGAAGAGAAAAGTTGAAAGCATGAACAGCTTGCATAGACCTCGCAGAGCAGCCATTAATCGTCACAGAGTAGTAGCTGAACAAACTAACCCCATGGTGGCCCAGTATTCAACTGGTAAATAATAAATGGATCTCGCACACAAAGGAGTGGTGCTTAGGGACGAGATCAAATAGAATAAACCATTCTGCTTTTCCCTTCCTTCAGAGGCAATAATTGGTCATATTAGACTAACATTTCGAACAAATTCAGTAAAGCAAACGCGGTAATGCGATTTGTCAGCTGTAGTTCGGATGTATGATTTGATTTTAATGAATTCAAGTTGGAGTTGCTGAGATATTTCAAATGTGTCAAATAACAAAGGATCTCTGCCTTTCTCACAGATGTTAATGGAAGTGTTCTTGTAATTAGAAAATGGGACATTTACAGAACAGAATTAATCAGAAGAGGCTTTAACCTAAATGCCTCTCTATTCAGTCCTATTCACTGCAAGTTCTTTGTGCAAGAAAATATAAAAACCTAACAGTCATTAAAAAGGATGGTTTGAATGTACAGTCATGGCAGAAAGCATGAATTGGTATCTTATGTGAAGATTCTGTAGTCTCTTTCTTTGGGACCCCTAATGACCATTCCTCCGGTGGACTGGAAACTGACTAGGACATGTTTAATCAATATAATCAAATAAAATATGTTTTCTCTGCACTCACAGTCATGGGTGTACTGCCTTTTCACCCATGACTGTGTTCCTGTTTATGGCTCTCTCTCCATAATCAAGTTCGCGGTTGACACCACGGTGATAGGTCTGATCAGAGGTGATGATGAGATGGCCTACAGGGATGAGTTGCAGCACCTGGCAGCCTGGTGTGAGGACAACAGCCTGGTGTGAGGACAACAACCTGTCACTCAACACCTAGAAAACCAAGAAGATCATCGTGGACTTTAGGAGGGGTAGGAGCCAGACACACTCCCTCATCTACATCAGGTAGAGCACGTGTCTGGCTTCAAGTTCCTTGGTATCCACATCTCTGATTATCTGACCTGGTCATGGTCAAAAAGGCACAACAGCTCACCTGTGTCCCGGGATACTGGTGAACTCCCACCGCTGTACCATTGAGATCATACTCACAAACTGCATCGCAGTGTGGTTCGGCAACTGCTCAGTTACCCTCCATTGAGAACATTTACCATAAGCGCTGCCTGGGCAGAACGAGGAACTTCATCAAGGACGTTTCTCATCCTAACCACGGACTCTTTACCCTCCTCCCATCTGGCAGGCTATACAGAAGTGTCCCCTCCCGCACCAGCAGGCTCAGGAAGAGCTTCTTCACTGAGGCTGTGACCCTGCTGAACACCTCACTGTCACTTCAACTGCATTTACTGCACTGTTATTGTACTTTATGTCTTGGTATTATTGCACTATTCATATTTGCACAGTCTATTACTGCACTATTTCATGTTGACACTGATAGTTACTGTACAAGTTTACTCTGCTTATTTATCTTTTACATATGCTGCTCTCACAGGACACACTACCTACATCTGTACACTCTCCACTCACTCTGTATATATCGCTGTTGTGGGAAGAAAACCTTGTATATCCAAAATGGTAAGGAATAAACCTACTTTACTTTTAATGTAAGTCAATGGAACCAGACTTTTTTCCAAGTCATTTTGGGCCATTTCTTTTGGTCCATTCATCATGAAAGTTACAAACAATATAAAGGGGTAACAGGTATTTTCAAATTATGTCAAAAACTGAAAAATGGAGACAAAAATGGAGATACAAGGTTTTCTTACGATAATACTGTATTTTGCACTTCTGGTTAGATGCTAACAGCATTTCATTTGCTCTGTACCTGTACTCTACACAATGGCAATAAAGCTGAATCTAATCTAATCTGATCTCTGTAACTCTGATATCAGATTAAGTAGGATTGTGCTGCTAGTGAGCAATTAGGTGTGAAAGAGGAGGGGTAAAGGCCCGCTGCTGTGAAAATAATTCACATCTTTCAACAAAGACAGGCATGCTCAGATAAATACAGCACAAGAACAGCTTGATATCAAAAAGTCATGTGCAACTGTCATGATAAAAAAAAGAAAACAGAATTAAATAGAAAAAATTACTAAACATTGACTTCCTTGCTCTGTTTTGCTGTGAATTCAGTTCACTTTTGTTTTTTTATAAATTGTACACATTTCCATCGATGTATATTCCATCAGTATTGAAGAAAAAAAATGATCAACAGATGCACCTCCTGGAAATGATATTTTATGACTACTGTGAAAAGGGGCAACATTCGAAAGGGGTCTTTACACATCCCTCTGGCTCTGACATTCATAAAGACTCCACTTCCCAGAACTCTCTGGGAGATCATGTGACTGATAAACCTCCCCAATCCACCAATCACTGTTCCAGTTCACATGAATACTAACCTGTTTCACCTGTTATGTGCATCACATGACTAGATTTAGTTTAGGATATAAGCCCAGGCTTTAGCACCAGGTCTTTTGTGAGGTGTTGCTTCTCTCTGTAGAGCTACTGAGTGTTTCTATCTGCTATGTTGCCTTTGTGTTTTTGGACTTCCTGACTTTACCTTGTTGTCTTTTGCCCTTTTGGATCTGTTGGCCTGATATTATTTGTTATGTTTATCTTTTTTTGTACTTTGGCTTTTTTGGACTTGACCACTGCCTTTCTCTCCACTATGAGTACTTTTCAAGTAAAGCCTCATTTCTTGTCTTTTTAATGTGAGCATCTGGCTGGTTCTGTTACACACTCACACATTTAATTTACAAACATGACTCTTGAAAAATTTGGGTTATTGAAAAAATTGAAAAAAAAGGACACTGTAAAAAAAAACAAATTCTCAAAATTTTAAAGCAACATAATGCATTAAGGTTTTAGAGTTTTTCTCTACAGTTTGAGTATCTTCTTTACTATCTATGTTCATTTGTTTAGGACAAAACTAAATCCCTACTGAATATATCTAATATTATTATTCCTGTTTATAGTAGTATTTCACTGCTGTCAGAACAAAACCTTGTGTCTCCATTTTTGTTGTTTTTTCAGTTTTTGGCATAAGTTGAAAATGTCTATTGCTCTTTACATTGTATATAAATTTCATGATGAATGGACCAAAAGTAACGACTCAAAATGATTTGGAAAAAAGACTTACATTAAAAGTTAAGGTTGGTTTTTTCCTTCTCCTGTAAAGTTACCATTTTGGAGATACAAGGTTTTGTTCTGACAGCAGTGATTTATTTTTGTGTTTTAATACTGACATATAAAGCAGTAGATGTCAGTATGATAATTATAACTGTAGGCACGCTTTATTTACACAGTTTTATGTTTGAATCGCTGTATGTCAGCTTTAGCCCCCTACGTTGACAAATTTGCACCCCTGGATTCTTCTCTTGCATCACTCCAAAGACCTCTTTCCTGTACCTTTTTATTTTTAAAGAATATAATGTTTCTCTTTTCTCCTCTGTCTTTCTCTCTTCTGAAGGCCAATACCATCTCCAGATTATGGATGTTCGCCTGGAAGACGACTCCCCCTACGAGTGCCAAGTGGGCCGCTCCAAAACTAGCCAGCCCATCGTCTCCCGCACAGTGTGGCTCAATGTGCAGAGTAAGCAGAACCATCGCTCGCAGCACGGGATGGTGGGAAATGTGGGGGTATACACGAGAAGCAGCATGGGACAACTTTAGCAATGACAGATAGCTCAGCCTGGACCACTAATGGCTCCGCACACACTGAAAAGGTGACACACAGTGGCAGACTGATCCTGTCACATTTTTCAGCTGCTACATTCGGGATACTAATGAGGCATGTGGTGTCTATGAGGTAAAATGGACAGTCCTCAGTGCTTCTCGTAGAGTTTCTTACAGAAAAGGGCCAGTATGTCTATACCAGAAGACATGGACCAGAAGGAGCAGCTAATTAGCTGCCGTTACGAAGCCACTGATTTTACACTCATTTTACTTTCCTGATTTGTCAACAGTCGCAAGTGTACAGTCTTTTATGAAGCCTCACTCCATTTAGCCTACTGTGTGGTCTCTTCTTTTCGCTTATATCGGATTCAAGTAATCATTCCCAGGGAAACAAAGGCTGCACACATCTGGCCAAACATACAACCATTTTGTAGAAGCCATTTGCCTATGAAAGTTGCCACCACATTCAAATAAGCCAAATTGTTTGGCTGTACTATTTAAATGTAAATACACTGTTAAACTAGAAAAGTGCCTTTTCTTCAGAAAATGCAGTGGTTGTGCAGCTTAAGCAATTCCCTCGTGGTTGCTAGGGAGTTGCTAAACAGTTCATGTTATTTTAAGTGGTTGCTAAGGTGTTGCTAAGTGTTATGGTATCCCCACGTGTTTGCTAGGATGTTGCAACATGGTTGCTATGGTATCCCATTGTTCGCTGAGTGGTTGTTATGGTATCCCATGTGGTTGATAGGGTGTTGCTGCATGTTTGCTATAATATCCCATTTGGTTGCTGAGGCATTGCTAAGTGGTTGCTATGGTGTCCCAGGTGGTTGATCTGATGTTGCTACGTGGTTGTTATGGTATCCCATTGGTTGCTTAGGTGTTGCTGAGTGTTTTTATAGTATCCCACATGGTTGATAGGGTATTGCTAGGTGGTTGCTATGGTATCCTATGTGGTTGCTGAGGTGTTGTTAAATGGTTGTTATGGGATCTCATGTGATTGCTAGGGTGTTGCTACATGGTTGCTATGGTATCCCATGTGGTTGCTGAGGGGTTGTTAAGTGACTGCTATGGTATCCCATGTGGTTGCTGAGGGGTTGTTAAGTGACTGCTATGGTATCCCATGTGGTTGCTGAGATGTGTTTAAGTGGTTGTTATGGTATCTTAGATGGTTGCTAGGATGTTGCTAAGTGATTGCAATGGTGTCCCAAGTGGTTGCTAGGATGTTGCGATGCTGTCCCATATGAATGCTAGGATATTGCTGGTGTACTTTTGTCATGGTGACATGAGTGGGTTGCATAAACCTTTGCATACAAAGTTCTGCCATTCATTCCTTAATGAAAAATAAAGTCTAGAAATATGAGAAATAGTCGAGATATCAACTAGATTTAGGATCGTTTTACTTCCTAAATCTTTTACTTTTACTTGCTTACTCCGTTAAAGCAGGTGACTTTAATTGCAAAACTCTGAATACAAACTACAAACTACAATGAAAGAAAAGGAAAAAAAAATAAATAAACAGACTTTTTTCATGTCAAATGATAGGGAATAAGGGGAAATGTAAAGGATCTCAAGAGAGTTTTCTTTTTGCAAAACAAGACTGTACAGACAACCATAACTTCATCAAATTCAGTTCAAATTCAAATCATAATAAAACATCTTCTTTTCTACTTATAAAAAACAAATGTGTTGATTTGGACTGAAACAACAAACATTCTCCACTTGTTTTAAAGAGCTATGAGTGAGAAATAATTATCAATTTACAGCATAGTTTATTATTGCTGGTGATAACAGCAACTTTCAAGCTTTAAAGCTGTGAATGAATGATGAATTTGCCTCTGGGTCTCATCCTGCCTGTAGGCCATCTTCATTCGCGGAGTCATTTCTCTCTAGGTTCTGGTTTGGATATAATCAATGAGGCCCTGCATGTACCCTGATGCTCGGTGTCAGGCTCAGAGTAGAAGTGTGAGCATAATGTAGATTAAGCAGAATGTGTGGAAAGTTTTCTCCTGTTTGTTTGTATGTGTGTATTTAGACTTTATGTTTGTGTAGTTTTGCTTCTGTCACATCATAATTTTACTTCTTTAATTATTTATTCATTTAGATGAACTCTCTCCAGTCATGGGCAGTTCAACCTGCCAGCCATGTAGCTTCATTGAGGAACGTTAGCTGCCTCAGTATGTATGTGTCTCCAGTCAGAGAGACCAGCTGCTGAGTACATGAGAGGGCCAAGCTATTCATCCAGAAAACGCGTTCTGCCAGGCGGTCTCTCAGGGAGGTCAGGCCTCATAGGATTGTTTCAGTGGCAGTATATACACTCCTATGAGTCACTTACCCATCAGGAGGTTTCATGTGCTCTCTTAGTGGGTGGTCCTATCTATACCTCACTCGCTTTATTCGGTATGAGCTCGACAGTAGTAAGTTGACTACAGCTCACACATATTTATTCTTTTCGGCAAATTGTAGTGTTCATATATACATGTGGTGGCGTGTTAGTGTGTTGCACTGGTACAAGTGGATCAGACACAGCAATGCTGCTGGAATTTTTAGACACCTCAGTGTCACTGCTGGACTGAGAATAGTCCACCAACCAAAAGTATCCAGATTCTGCGTTTGGATGTAATTGATGAGGCACTGCGTCGATTACACTGTATATATAGTGCCTTGTGGGCAGTGTCCTGTGACCACTGATGAAGGACTAGAGGACAAGTAAAATAAGCTAACCATCAACAGATGAGCTATCGTCTCTGACTTGATATCTACAAGGTGGACCAACAAAGTAAATGTGTCTAATAGAGTGGACAGTGAGTGCACACAGTGTTTAAAACTCCAGCAGCACTGCTGTGTCTGATCCACTCATACCAGCACAACACACACTAACATACCACCACCACGTCAGTGTTACTGCAGTATATTGTGATGTTGCAGTACAATAAGACACAGACAAGGCCATGTTTTTGCTGTGAGTAGTGCTCTTTACTGAGGATAGGGTGGATAGGTACATAACAACCTGAACAGCAGTGAGGTCATCATCATCATCCATACACCTCCGCTTCATAGTACCCATGTAGCTTAGCCCACTGCCTGACACACAATAACTCAGGTATCACATACATATAAATTAAACTAACAGAGCACAACATAAACAACAACAGCCCTTTTCCGGAGAATACGCACCTCCCATGAGCCTCCTTGCATAGCCCTCTGCATGGACACACCTCCAGAGCCTCTGCGGCAGCCCAAGCCAGTATCAGGATGCTGCAATATGTACCTAAGCATATTTGCAAAAACAGGGGACCACTGTTCATGTGTTTAATTTCCAGGTCAACAAGTTGTTCTTTGTTCTGTGGCAGGAAAAAAGTGGTAAAGGCTTATTATGGGATATTTTTCCACACCTCCAAAGTTCAGTCTTAGAAGTTCTGCCTCTCATAGTTCAAGTAATTCCAAACACATTTAATGATGGTGAGGTCTGCACACCAGCCTCCGACAACACCAGTAGCTTCATTGTTTATGTATGTTCTTCTTTTTTGTCCATATGCTTTTTCTCAATAAGGGCTTCTTGACAGCTACACATCCTTTCAGACCCATAGCATTGAGTTGAGCAGCTTGATCTTCTCCTCTCTATCAAAGATGAAAGCTTTAAGTGCTCTTTATCTGATGGGGACAGCTTTGATGCTCTACCAGCTCTTGTACTGTTGTTAAGTCCCATTTTCCTACATCTTCTGATTATTTTTGACTCTAGTTAAGGAAAATCTTTTTTTTTTGTTTTTTTTTTCCATTTATCTTCCTTTGATTTTCCCCTTCCTTATGCAAGATGGTTATGCAGAAGGGTTATTTTATATCTAATCTCATCAGAAACCTCTCCTGGAATATGAAGAACTTGTAACTTGGCCGCTTTGACTGGACATTAAATAAATAAAGATGGTCTCTGACTTTTGCCCAAGGCAAATATTCCATTATACAACATACCAATGCTGATTCCTAAACAGTCAAACTCTTTAAACGGGCATACCAACCTAAACCTCGCACTTAATATGTTATTTGTCATGTTATGCAACATCTGTACCAAAGTATTTCATCACTTGACCTCACTGGTTTCATGCTTGTATATCCTTTGTGTGTTTCCATCCATCAGGGCTCTCTTAATAAAATATTAAGCATGGATTGCACCCAAAAACTCATACGAGTGCTGGCGGTAAAGAAATCTAAGAGTCTAAAAAATACAGACATGATATTTGTCTTCCTAGCAGCTATTTCCCATTAGCTATGTGGGGCCGTATTACAGGAACATCTTATTTTTAAACCTAAATTAAGATTTGACAATATTTTTCACAAGAAGCAAATCTTAAATTGGGGATTTTAACTTACACCATCTTATTTCAAGTTAGGAAACCCGAAAGTACAAAATTGACAAGCAGAAGTTACAACCTGTTACCAAGCAACTGATAATATGCATATTGCTGAAGGGTAAACACAATGGAAACAACATAAAAAATGCAAACTGACAGCGAATGTGTTAAAAATGTCAAAACAGAACTAAAGTGTTGAATTGGAGGTTATCGTATTTGAAAGATATCAATTGCAAGTTTTCATTTACCAAGGCTTTAGCATGTGAGGCACATTAACATTATTCTGCTGAACACAGCCACATGTTAAACCCATCTCATTATTTACCACCATTGTTACAACATTATTTGGCAAGTTTTCATTGACATTAACACATGCAGGTAATGAGAGGGAATGAGGAGAACGTGTCTGCAGTGTCCAGAATTTCTTGGACCACAGAGTAAAATATAAAAAAAAATCACTCTCACAATTGAAACCACAATGGAATAAATGTAACACCGTTATGCTAGTTATAGTGGAATTGTTATAGCGCCTGTCACAGCTGCCTTATAATGATAACATTCTCATTTCAATAGA